CCCGTTTATTGTGGCTGTACGAACGTACGCAAAGGCGCTGAGCCTCACGTCCAAGCATTGCATTACCATTTCTGCTGCTGCTCTGCTCAAGCCCCCCGATATCGAACCAGCTGATTTCCAAGCAGTGTTGGAGTCCATGGGTAGAGACGGCGGCGGTCGAGGCTGGCGCCCTTGGCGGTGGTACGACAACAGCAACAGGAACTACGGCGGCGGCAAAGAGAACGGTGGCAGCCAGGACTGGGCGACTGCTCAACTTCCTCAGGAATCCTTGGAGAGAAGCCGTGAGCAGCGTGAAAAAGAAGCACGTGAGAAAGAAGAGAAACGAGTTCAAGATCTTGTCGACGATCGTCTCCGGGAGTCCTTCGGCGGAGGCTCGGCCAGGAACCGGGACGACAGCCAGAGAGAGGAGCGCTGGCCAGCTCTCCCATTTCTGCGCACCCTCGGAAGGATGCTGAGCCGGAGGTGGTCCGATGAGAGCCGTGATGACCGGCGGGGCCGGAACCGTGGACGCAGCCGCTCCCGTGACCGTTCACGTGGTCGCGGCCGGGGAGAGCGGAGCCGGGACCGTGGCGGCTATTCAGACCGGGGCCGTGGCAGGCGCTCCGACAGGGATCAGGGCAGCCGCTCAGACAGACGCACTCGTGCTCGCAACCCTTCAAGGTCAAGATCGGGCTCTCGGCGTCGCAGTGGCCGTAATTCCGGTAACAATGAGTCTTTGGAGGTCCTTGCGCAAGCATTGGGTGACATCGCGCACTCACGCCGCGATTCCGGCAACCGTCCAGAAGAGCGCCGCGGTGATGATCGCCGCAATAACCCATCAAACTCTTCTGGCGCTGCCGGGTCAGATGGCGTTTCTGGCGCTACCGGGTCAGGCGGCCCGCAGGCTGTGCGGGGCCGTACCCTACTGGCACCTGACGAGGAGACGGCTGACGAGACCAACGCTGAGGTCGAGATGCGGGCCCAGAAGGAGACCTGCAAAGCACTCGGCATGCAGCTCGACAGCCAGATCTTCAGGGAAGAGAAGCAGTGGACAAAGGCAGTGCTCGACAATTGCAAAATTGAAGACCTGCGGATGGCCATCAAGAAGAATATCGGGGAGGATGCCCCCAAGCAGAACACCAAGCCGAAAATGTTGGCGCAGCTGCTTGCATTCGCCCGTGGTGATTAGCATCCAACAGTATCATCGTTCCCCTGTGCTTCAACGTGCCGGCACGCTGCCACGCTTCCGGGCTCGTTGGGGCATACGCTCACGCAGTCATGCTATCAATGCAACGTGTTGCTTTATGGATGTCTTGGTTGTTCGAACTTTCATATGAAATTATGCTGGTAATATTGGGTATTCCATTTGCCGGCATAGCAGATATGTACGTCGTGCTCCTACGCCTCGTCACGCCATGGCGAGAAAGAAAGATCAGATTCGTTGCTGGCACGTGCTCTGTGCTCACCTCGCTGGCGGTGGCCATCACCGGGTACAGACGCCTCGATGATCTGATAGGCCTCTCTCTTTCTCCCTCCCTCCCTCTTTCTTTGCCTTTTTCGTCCGCCCCACCCTTGTCTCTTTCCGCTCTTTTGACATCTGCTTCCATATCGAGCCCAGCCTCCACAGCTTGCTTTTGAACACAGCCCAGGTCCTGCTCACAGGTGCAATTATGTGTCTCTTGGTGCTTGTCAGGTTTCTTGACATGATTGCTTCGCACATCATGCTCATAGTGTGTAGTATTGCAGTTTCGTCATTGCTTGTAGCCGGTCTCAGGCACTAGCGATGAAGGTCGCTGCGGTAAATCCCCTGCTCCGAGGTCCTAAGGCTCGGCGGTGCCAGGCGATGCGCCAGAGGTGAAAAACAAGTGGGTACATCTCTTTCTCTGGGTCTCTCTCTCTCTCGCTCTCGCTCTGCCTCTCTAAATCTTATGTGTATATATATATGTATACATATATATATATATATATATACATGTATATATATATGTATATGTGGTATTGTCTTTTTGTTGGTTCTCTCTCTATCTATATACATATTTACCAAGCACTCAGTACAACCCTTGTGAAACCACAAAGATGGCGATGTCGGGGGTGCGGGAACCGTGCGTTGTCGTTTGGCTTGTTGGGCTTCTGTGATGAAGGGTGAGGAAACAATGCGTGTTCATGTGCATTTTGAGGTTTTAAAAATTTTCCTCCCAACAAAAAGAAACTAAGCCCAGGAGCCCTCCCAGAAGCTCCGACCCCCAAAATCCAAAACAGCTGAAACATCCAAACGGAAACATATTGATTCCTCATTTCTCGTCCCAGAAACACGAAAACATACACGTGAAACCACGAGATGTGCAATGTCAGGGGTGTGGAAACCCTGCGCTGTCATGGGGATGTTTGCGATTTCTGAAATCAAAAAGTGGATTCGATCCCCAGTTCAGCTGGTTGGGTTTTCTGAGATGTAAAGCTGGTTCAAATGAGATTCTAGGTTCCCAAATTCAAATGGATTGGGTACCACATTCAACTGGTTCACAAAGTTTGAGTCCGGTTGGACGCAAATACAACCTAATTGGGCTTGAACAGATCTTAGAATCTAGTTCGAATGGAGCAGATCACAGATCCAGCTGGTTCCATTTGGATACCTACTGGAATAGAGTTAACACCGAACTTGAGTTGAGCAGATCCCAGGTCCAGCTGATTACAATTTGGTTCCTACTGGGATTGGACTAGAATCGAATGTTGTTGGAGCGGATCCCAGATCCAGATGATTCCAAGTTGTTTCCTGCTGAAATCCGATTCGAATCTACTTCGGATTGCGCCAAACAGCCCAGATCCAGCTGATTAATACTACATTCCCACTGTAATCGAATGCGACTCGAACTCGAATGGGGCGGATCCCATACTTGGATCTAGTTAGACTCTAGTGGACGTGAGCAGGTCCCAGGTCCAGCGGATGTCAGTTGTATTCATATTAGAACCAGATCCAGCTGATTCGATGTTGGTTCCAATTGGAACGTGTTTAGACAATCTAACCTAATTGGACAGGCCCCAGATCCAGCTGATTCTACTGTGACTCCTTTTGTAAGCGAATTAAAACCCAATTGCAATGGAGCGTAACCCGGATCCAGCTGATTCCGATTGACTTCCAATTGAAATATAGTACACATCTTATTGGAATTGCGCGGATCCAAGATCCAGCTGATTCCAACTTGCTTCCTGTTGGGATTTACTTAGGATCTGATTGGGGTCGAACGGATCCCAGATCCATCTGTTCCCAATTTGATTTCTGTTGAAATCTAAATCGAGTTGACTTAGAATTGCGCAGACCCCAGATCCAGCTGATTCCAATTAGATTCCAGAACGAGAAGGCCGCAGAGAAATGAACATATTGATGAGCAGGCAGGGGTGAAAATAATGCGGATGATCAGTAAGAGTACGAATGAAGAGCTCAAAGGCAGATGCACAATGAATTGGTGCTGGGGTAAGGGGGGCTGCATCTCTATAGAGTTAAATATAACGATCCTGTTTTTTCTCTTGGCAGGAATGGCTTCGGAAACAAGCGGTTGCATTGGAACGGCTGTTTTTTCCTCCCCATACAGTCTCCAGATCAGCAACAATCTCACCATGTGGGATAGCAAGCGCGTGAAACGAGAGGGTCCCCTGCAGCCCTCCTAGGCACAGTACCACACGTGTGCTGTGCCTACACACTCTGATGAATTCAGGGCGATTGGATGGTCAACCGTTTGGCCTCCCGTAAGAGATGAAGTCAACACTACTGTCCAACATACTTATACTAGAGAACAGCTGTGAGGTATGGTCCCTCGTATGATCTCCCGTGCGGTCTTCCGCATGGTCTCCCGCATGTCGGCGGTGGACAAACCTGCCTTTCGTAGACCTCCCCTTAGTGAACACGGCACGCCCCCTACGGCAGCCGCGGCCCTCCAGGGAGCCCCACCTGCGGCCTCGGCGGACGCGGACGCACGGCGTCCCCCCCCGCACTCTTCGGTCCTCTTCCCACCCCCTCTTCGTCCTCGGGCGCCCTTCCCCCCCGCTCCCGTGCCCCGTCGAAGCCGCGCCCTCGTGCCGGGGGGTGGCGCCCTCGAGCGCGGCAGGTGCGCACACTGGCCGTGCGCCCGACAGCCCGCCGAAGACAGGATCCCTGGACCCCGCCCCGGCGCCACCCCGACCTGACTCTCCGAGGCCGCGCCGCGCGCCGCGAGAACCGTAACGAGGACGGTTGAATGCCCTGGGGCGCCGCGCGGAGTCATGCCACCGTGCCCCTCCAGGGCACCTTCATGACTTCCCGAGGCCCTGAGATCAGGGTGTTGATCTCTTCGCACCGGGCGCTTTTGCCCGCTTGCGATGATCCCCAGCACGTCTGTTAGCGCCGACGTGTGCCTGTCCACCGAGGCCCTTCACTGCGACGCAGGCGGTGCAACGGGGGCCAGAACAGGCTCCGGGCTATCGGCGGAGCCGAGGTGGGTAAACACACGCTTGGGCCATCGGCACTTTGGGGCCCCGCGAGAATCACCTATCGATGCGGCTCGAAGAATGCCGCAGACAGATGGGGTCTAGGGCTCTACTCTTGATCCTTCGCGATGTGGCATTCGTTTCGCCACGTCGGATCTCGGGGACAACCGATCACCCCCGAGGAGCCGCGCGGAGTCACCCGCCGTGCCCCGCCGGCCCTCGGAGGCTCCTCTCCTCTCCTGGGCATCCAGCGAGGTGCTGTGCATTCCCCATACGCTGTGCCAAGGAGGCTCCGACCCCTGCCCCTCCTCCTCCTCCTCCTCCTCCTCCTCCTCCTCCTCTTCCTCTTCCTCCTCCTCCTCCTCCTCCTCCTCCTCCTCCTCCTCCTCCTCCTCCTCCTCCTCCCCTGCCCTGGGGGCAATCCTTCATCCCGGGTCCGTTTCTGCTGCCCCCAGGGCTCGCTGGCGGGCCCCGGATGCCGCACTCGGAGGAAAGCGCAAAGACCCCTCGAAAACCGCATCGTCGGACGTCTGCCCTCCCCCTCCCCCCTGGGACGGGCGCGCCCTGGGGACTCGTCGACGCCCAGGGCGGGCTGCTGGCCCCGCAGCTGCGCCAGTGGTACGCTCGTGCTGGCCAGGAGGGCCAGCGGGTGCGCCTGCACCTCTCCTCCGGCGCGGGGGGCGGCGGGCCCTCTGGTGGAGAGCGGCCCCTCTCCATCCCTCACGCGTCGCCTGCTTCTTGCCTCGTCGCGGCCTCTCTCTCTCTCCCTCCCTCTCTCTCTCTCTCTCCCTCTCCCCCGTGCTCTACCCTTTCCCTCTCCCTCTCCCTCTCCCTCTCTCTCTCCCTCTCCCTCTCCCTCTCCCTCCCTCTCCCTCTCCCCCTCCCCTGCCCCATGGCACACTGAGGCGTGGTGGAATGCCAGGAGCTGCCTGGTAAGGTTTCCATGAGCTTTCCGACCCCCCCCCCTCTCTTCCTCGACACGCTGAGCCGCGTGCACTCCCCCTGTGGGCCTCCATTGGCGGCCCGAAGCTTCCCCGGGCTTCTCCAGGGCTTCCAGGACGGCCCAGGCAGACCACGAAAGCCGCCAAGACGGCTCACCAGTGCATCGCGATGCACCCGACAGCCCTCAGGACGACAACACGCCACGGGGCGCCAAGAGGCCTCCGAGAGGACCCAACAGGAACACCGAGAGGAATCAGAGACGCCAACACACAAGACTGAGCAGCCCTCCAGCCAGGCCTAACTTACCCCAATGTCTACGGAGCCTAACCTGCTCATCCTATGTCATTGCCGACGTGGATCCCAAACAGTGAGTTCCTGCAAGCGGTGCAGGTGGAATCAGTGCGTGTTGCAAGCGCTGCTGTGCAAGTCGTGCGGTGTAGGCATGTTGTGCAAGCGGCGCGGGGCAGTCAATGTGCGGTGCAAGCTGCGAACGTGCTATCAACAATGTGATGCAACTAATTTTTGCCAACTCATGAGTTGCCAACTCCGCCGCTCGCGCAATCATCCCACCCTCCCACCCGCAGCTTGGTTTGAAAAACCCATGCGGCCGCGATAGCAGCGACTGTTTGGCACAGGCTGGCGCATGTCTGCACCCGCGCTGGCGCGCACACTGTCGCGCGCAGAGCGGCCAGCTGGTTTGGCACACCCGATGCGGCCGCGATGGCGCTTACCGATGGCAACGTCCCAGCGCGTGTCGAAGGCCGCGCTGGCGCGCGGCCACTTCAATGCGGGTCGGTGGCTCGGGCGGGCGCGATACCATGATGACGTCGACAGCGGCGGCAACGATGATAATGATAACGACGGTTCTGGTGATGATGACGATGAAGACGGCAAGGCCAATGACGGCGCCGATGCTGGTAATGCCGATGACGAGGATGATGTCCATGTTTGGTCCCAACCATCCTATGGTGTTGGGTCCTCGTTTTGAATGAGCAGCGCCCCGCGTCCTCACCTCTCCTCCTCCCCTTCCTCCCTCCTCCTCTTCCTACTCGCATCCCTGCCTCTGCACTCTGCCTGGGCGTCCCAGTGCATCCCTCACACGCTCCGCGGCTCCACAGGGAACTCCGCCGAAGGTCCGGCGCCCGTGTGGCGCCGCCGGACCCAACCTCGGCGCCCCCCTCGCGCGCTTCGTGGCCCCACGGGAAGCTCCACCGACCGCCCACATGGCAGCGACCGCGGGAAAAAACACACACTGTAAGAAAAAAACACAAACACACACTGTGGGAAAAAAACACACACGCACACAAAAACACACAGTGTGTGGGGAAAAACACACACGGTGTGTGTGTGTGTGTGTGTGTGTTTCCCACAGACTGTGTGTTTTTTCCACAGACTGTGTGTGTTTTCCCACAGTGTGTGTGTGTGTGTGTGTTTTTTTTTCCCACGGCGCCACCGCGCCCACGTCGGCACACCTCTCGCATGTCTCGCTGCCCTGTGGGGAGGTGGGTGCCCCAGCGGCAGCGCCCGCACGGCGGCGCCGCACCCCTGTCGGCACACCCCTCACGCGCTTCGTGGCCTCAGGAGGGGCTCCACCGAGGGCGACACCCACAGCGACGATGTTCACATCTGCATATGGTTGGGTCCATCGCCGAGAGATACATTGACGATGATGATGATGATGATGATGATGATGATGATGATGATGATGATGATGATGATGATGATGATGATGATGATGATGATGATGATGTTGATGTTGTTGATGATGATGAGGAGGAGGAGGAAGAGTGGGGTGCGATTACAGATTGCACCAGCCCCGCACGTGACTGCTGGCCTTGGCGCTGGAGGAGAATAAGCAAACACATATATAGAAGAAGAGGTTCCGTCGGCCAGGCGCCGAACCCCAGAAGGAGTTCTCCTTGAATTCTGCGATGACGCATCCCAAGATCGGACGGGCAAACAAAACACGTGCGAAAGTGCACCACCAGGGCGTGCATAATCTTACCTCGACGGCTGCCCGCATCACGGGCCGCAGCGGGAGGACCTCAGCGACGAGAGGCTGTCTGCAACACGAGCCTCAGCAAGAGGGCCTCAACGATGAAGAACGACCCCACCGTGGCGAGGCCTATCAGAACAAGTCCCATGCGAAGATTAAGTAGATGAGGCAACACACCAGGAAACCTAGCAGAGACAGCCATAATGTGAAAATGATGATGTACATGTGTCTATGATGAAGGTGATTGAGTGATGGTGGCGGCCATTGCGGCAATTGGCGATGACGATGACGTGATGCGTCGGCACTGATGAGGGTGATGTTGCCGACTCGCGCGAGCGGGAATCCAAGAAACCTGGCAAACCTTCGTGTTCACAAACATTGGCTGTTTGTTCACGCGCATTTGAAAACCTATCTCTAAACTATTTGCAAGCAACTGGTTTTGGACTGATTTCGCCAACGATCGCACAGCGGCGCGCGCGTGAAGCCAGCCTTGTATTTTTTGACATTGACTCGCGAAGTGGGCGCATGCTGGATCAAAGCGGATGCGCCGCGTGGTGATCTGAGAATGCAACTTCTGGGCGAGATTGCTAAACTAAGATGGTCTTCCTATGACTTCAACGACCGCGCGCGTGCAGAACATTTGCAATACTTGGGATGAAAAACCGATGGTGTCTTGAAGTTTTTACCTTGCGATCCTTGCAGAACTGCAGACCTTGCGTGTTTGGTCTGATTTTGACATGTGCGCGCGCGTGGGCTTTGTTCATCTTTTTGCAAACGGAACTCTTGAACCATGATCTGCTGCGATAGACGGGTGCGCTCGCATCGTTTTGTTTGACAGGGGTGGGGGGAGTGATGCCAGAACTGAATGGGATGTGTGAAATCAAATGGACAATGAACGATGATGTCCATCCATAAGTACTTTGCAGTGTCCCTGGGGGGGCGTGTAAGTTCAGGGGGAGCAGGTGGTAGAGTCTATTCTTCATTTTCAAAGAGTACCGATCAAGTCAATTACTAATTGTCAACTCCAGCGCTCCTGCAAACATACATCCCCGCCTCCTGCGCGTAGCTTGCTTTGCAAAGCCCATGCGGTCACGATTGCAGTGATTCCTTGGCACTGGCTGGCGGCTGGCGCATCTCTGTACCCGCGCTGGCGCGCGCGCCCTCGCGCGCAGAACGGGCAGCTGGTTTGGTACAACTGGTGTCGGGGATCATCTGACACCAGTCAATCCAGACCCGGGTCAATCAGGCCTTGCAGAATCCTGCAAGATCCTGCACCCGAACCCGGGTCAATGCGAAGGATCCTGCAAGATCCTGCAGGATCCTGCGCCCAAGCCCGGGTCAATGCGACCCTGTCCCTGCAGGATCCTGCAAGATCCGGCGCTCTGGCTGACCTCCGTCTGCACTGACCCACGTCTCAAGGCTCCCGATGGTGCGGCCGCGGTGGCGTACCGGTGGGAACTTCTCAGCGCGTCTCAAAGGCCGCGCGGTCATGCGGGCGCTCGAACGCGGGCCGGCGGCACGGGCGGGCGGGGCATCGAGGAAGCGTCGACAACATCGGCAACGATGATGACAGCAGCGATGGTGGTGGCGATGACGACGACGACGACGGCAATGTCAATGAGGGCGACGGTGCTGGTGGCGCCAACGACGGTGATTGTGGTGACGATGGCGGCTGGCGGTGAATGACGAGGTCGATGAAAAAAGGCGGCGATGCGGTGGCGCTGACGAGGGTGGTGAAGACGTGGGCGCGCACAAATGCAAGACACCTGGGGTGCCTTTGGTTGGGAAACGTGTGTGTTCACATCTTTATGAAGCGCTATACCTTGAGATACGCCGAAAAACCGTTGGTTGCGCTAGAGAATCGACGCGCGCGCGTGGCGGCGCGCGCGAGTGGCCGGCGTTGTACCATCCGGCGCGGATGCGTGAGCTTGGCGCATGCTGCGTCAACGCGGCCGCGCCGCGAAACGAAATGAGAACGCGGATGGTTTTCGGACGGTTTCATCAAAGGCTCGCGCACAGCAAACCTGCAATCTTCGTGATGAACAGCCACCGGGGTTGTGGATGGCTCTCTGCAGAAGTCCCTGCAGAGAATGTGCCGCTCGTTTTTCGTGGCACAACTCGGGTGCCTGGCGGCCGTTCAGGACGATCCAGGCACCCCCAGAAAGCTCTCGGCGAGGCGCATCTGCTGAACGCATCCCAAACTTGCAAAGCCCTGGGAACCCGGTAAAACCATAAGAATGCATCGGAATTCGGTGTCTCGAGACCTCCTCCTCCTTATCCTCCTCCTCCTCCTTCTCCTCCTCCTACTCTTCCTCCTGCTCTTCCTCCTGCTCCTGCTCCTGCTCCTCCTCCTCCTCCTCTTTTTCCTCCTCTTCCTCCTCTACTGATTGTTATTAATGTTCTCCTTCTTCTTCCTACTATTCTTTTTATTATCCTAATTCCTCCTCCTCCTCCTCCGCCAAACGCCGAGCTATATGATGATGATGATGCTGATGATGATGATGATGATGATGATGATGATGATGATGATGATGATGATGATGATGATGATGATGATGATGATCAGCAGTGTCCTTCTCCTCCTCCTCCTCCTCCTCCTCCTCTGCCGCCGTGCCAGCCGCCGTTCGGCTCGTGGCCGCGGCCGCGCGCGCCGAGGCAGGGCCGCGGGCGCTCCTGCGCCCTCGGCGTGGGGCGCGCCCTGGGGCGGCACCGCGGCGCTCACGGGCCACGCGAGGCTCCCCGCCGCCCACCTGGAAGCCGGCGGCGCCGCCGCCGCCGAGCGAGCGCGGCACCGACGACGCCGCCGCCGACGTCCGCCCCGACGCCTCGTGACGAAAAGCACGCGACGGACGGCTTTGGCGATCCTCGGCTTCTGGGGGCCTCTCACGGGGCCCCGGGACCGTCAGGCAACGACTCGGGCTGAGGAGCGGGCCCTGGGGAAGGAGCCCGGGCCTCCGGGGGGTCCACGGCGTGAACCAAAAGGCACGCCGGCGCCTGCCCCCGCCGCCGCCGCCGACGTCTGCCATGACGCTGCTGGCGCCGGCGCCGCCGGCCGCCGACGCGACGGCACCGACGACGCCGAAACATGTTCGGCGCCTCTCGGACAGATCTTCCGTGGGGTTCGGAGGTCACTGGGCGCTCTTGGGGGATTCTGGAGGCTGAGGGGCCGCGGCGGGCGCCTGTCACCAACCAGTCAGCCTCCCTCTGCTACTGCTGCGTCAGCTGCTGCTCCTCCTCGTCCGTGTCCTCCTCGTGCTCGTCCGCCTCCTCGCCCTCGACCTCTTCGACCTCCTCGCCGTCCGCCCGCCCTGTCCTTGTTCTCGTCCTCCCCATGGCTGGATGGGCTGTGGCCCGGCACGGGCCCGCGCACTGGGCTGGCCCTGCAGCCGTGTGGGCAGGGCCAGATGAGGCCGTGCCAAATTTGGCTCTCTCACGCCGAGAAGGTACGTAACAAAGTGGCCCAAGGGCATGCATGGTTTGTGCTGGCACTGTGCGTGGCGGATGTGCCCGACCTTTCTGCGTTTGCCATCGGACGCTGGCCCGAATCCGCAGGCACCGCCGTCACCGTGCGCCTTCGGCTCAACCGGGCCGCTCCTCCTCCCGCTCCTCTTCCCTCTTCTCCTCCTGTTCCTCTTCCTTCTTCTCCTCCCCCCTCCCCTACTCATCACCAGCAGCATCCTCACCATCGCTTGGACGTCCATTCACCGTGCATGTTTCGATGTCGTGCGTGCAAGTGTATCAAAAGATGCTCCAAGATGCTCCTCGACAGTTCCCGCCGAGGAACAATGCACTTGTCCGAGCGATGTTAAGCATCAAAATCATCACCCGCTCTCGGGGTGCCTGCCTGGCACTCTCCGCGGGTGATGAGGCCAGGCTGGCTCAACTGGTGCGCCCGGTGAGGGGGAGCAACACAGCACAGCACAAGGCTACCAACAAAAACAAACACCTCATCTCATACGTGTGCCATGCCGATGCTGCACGCTGCATGCGGGTCTGCACCAGCGAACCGCCTTCCTCTGGGAACTCTGCGGGGTCTAAAAGGAAGCGTGAAGAAACCGTGGAAGCCCATTGGGATTCCACGGAGTCCTTTGCGATCCTGAGAATTCCTCGGGCATCCTGCGGAATCCTCGGAAATTCAGAAAAGAATCCTGGGACATCATGTAAAGTCTGGATGGATCCTCAGGAATGCGAAGGGATCCTGAGGGATCCTGGGAAAACGCAGAAATCTGGCGGAGTGCTGAGGGATGCTGAGGAATTGTCGGGAATCCACGGAAGTCCTGCGAAAACCTTGGGGAACCTCAGAACCCTGGAATATCCTGAGGAACTCGATGGAAACCTGAGGAATCCTGGGCTTGGGGGATCATCGGGAATCCGGATGCATCCTCACGGATGCTGAGAAGTCCTGAAAAATCTGGGGGGATCTGGCGGGATCCTGAGAGACCTGGGGAATCTGGAGGAACCCTGTGAAATAATGGACTGCGCCAGAATCCTCTGGAATCCAAAGGAACACTGCGACATCCTCTGGCATCCTCAAGGGATCCGTGATCATCACCGACACGATCGTAGTCCAATTGACGATGTTGTTATTATATTCAACTCTCCCCCATGCTCACGGAATCTCACATGCTATCATCGTCCCGTTACATCAGACCATGATCACCATATGGCCGTGTGCTCTCTCCTCTCGCTACATGTGAAACGTATTATGTTCTCTCCTCTCTGCTCCTCTCTTCTCTCCTCCCTCTCCTCCGCCTCTCCCCTCGCCTCTCCCCCACCCTGCATGGGCCGTGATGCCCGACGCGTGGCCGGGGCCCCGCCTGGCGAGCGCCAGCAACTGGGGGTGCGGCTGCGGATGCTCCACGTGCGCCAGCGCAGCCCAGGGCTGCTGCGGGAAGGCCTGGGCAAGATTTGCGCTTCCTCCGCAAACGCTCGCCAACATCGATACATGACCTCAAGCATGCAACGGCAGTAGAAGTGTCACGGAATACCTCTTCGAGGTAATTGGAACGGTGTTGCAAACCTGGATGAGGAGAAGCTTGGGCAGAAGGAGGGCGGGACACGCCAGGAGATCGGACCAAGACCGAGAGCCTTTACGCTCCAGGGCCCACCTGCTCACGAACCACGGCTGGAGGAAGGACGAGACGGCCAGAGGTCTACAGAGGGCTCCTGTGGTTCCCGAAGGGTCCCCGAAAGTCCCACCCAGGTCCACCTGAGGCCTGCGCCCCTGGCGGGCCTGGGGAGTAGCACGTGTGAGGAGGACGGGGTACTCGCTCCCCCTGCTCTGCCTCACTCTCCTCCTCTCAGCCTTCCCCTCCTACTTCTGCCCTTGCTGCTTATCTGGCTCCTCCTCTATCTCCTCCTCCTCCTCCTCCTCCTCCTCCTCCTCCTCCTCCTCCTCCTCCTCCTCCCCCTCCTCCCCCTCCTCCTCCTCATCCACCTCCCCCTCCTCCCCCTCCTCCTCCTCATCTTCCTCCTCCTCTTCCTCCTCCTCCTCCTCCTCTCTCCTTCCCCCCCCCAATATCCAAATCATGACCCCCTCTCCCACCTTCCTCCCGCATTATTTGCGGCACACATGTCTTGTCGACGAGCGCCAGGGCTCTTGGCGGTCTTGACTCTCTCTCTGGCACTCTGCTATCTGGAATCGCCAGTCAGCTGACTACGCAAAGAGCTCTGGAATGTTTGGGATATCCTTGTTTCTTGGTGTGGCATTATCATGGTCACCTTCTGGGTACCGCACTTTTGCAATCAGTGACGTGATCTGGCAGTTAGTGCGATCGGCTTGATGACTTCGAGCGCAATGTTCTGATCGTTTATCGGGCCGCCAGGGAAGATGCGAGAAGCCCCTCATACTTCACGACGGGGGCGAGGGTCTGGACACTCTAACTTCACGACGGGAGCTCGGGTCTGTACATACTTGCTGCACGACGGGGGCCTGAGTCTGGACACCCTTGCTTCGCGACGAGGGCCTGGGTTCAAACACTCTCGCGTCACCGCGGTAACCTGGGTCCGGACACTCTCGGTTCACGACGACGGCCTGGGTCTAAGGACTCTTGCTTCACGACGGGTGTCCGGACACTCTTGCATCGCAACAAGACCCGTCTGCGGCCTGTTGCAGTGACGGCCTTACGTACTCCAGCGAACTTGTTGGTGCAGCCCTGGACCCGTGTCTGCGACAAAACGTTGGCATTGTCCTGTTTGCTCCTTTCTTGGCCAACGCCATTCCGCCCGCCCTGTCGGTTGCGTGCTTTGGGCCGCCTGGTGTGTCGCTGCTGGGGGCTCCCCTTCGCTTCAGGGGGGCGGAAGGGCACGGTGGCGACCCCTGTTCGTACCCAGTCTCTGGGGAAGAGGAATAACTCAGTGGTCGGCGCACAGATTATCGCAAAGCCGCGTCCGACCGACCTCTTCCTCCTCATCGCCCTCCTCCTCCTCCTCGCCCTCCTCATCCCCTCCTCCTCGTCCCCCTCCTCTTCCTTCCTCCTCGCCCTCCTCCTCGCCCTCCTCCTCGCCCTCCTCCCCGTCCCCCTCGCCCTCCTCCTCCTCCTCCTCCTCCTCCTCCTCGCCCTCCTCCTCGCTCTCCTCCCCCCTTCGCCTCGCCATCCTCCTCCCCCTCCTTTCCTCGCCCTCCTCCTCGCCCTCCTCCTCGCCCTCCTCCCCGTCCCCCTCGCCCTCCTGCTCCTCACCCTCCTCCCCCTCCTCCTCATCGCCCCTCCTCCTCTTCCCTCCTCCTCGCCCTCCTCCTCGCTCTCCTCCTCGCCCTCCTCCCCGTCCCCCCACTCGCCCTCCTTCTCCTCCTCGTGGTGATAGGCCGTCGAGCATAAATGTGTGTTGGATGTGTGGCTCGTTTACAGAGGGAACCCGAGGGCTACAAGGAGATTGCTCCGACATCCCCCCTACAATGGTCGTGCGTTGCAGCGCCAGCGTGCTCGGGAAGGAAGGCACCCCATAGGTTCCGCAATCCGCAAGCTCGCCCATAGTCTTGTGAAGAAGCCAATCCCGCTGGCACAGCTGGCGAGAGAGCTGGCCGAGACGAGCTCCGCTGCATAGTGCAGCAGTCAGCTCACAGACAAGCGGGATCCTCCCCAATCCGAGTGCTGGTCCTCCTCCTCCTCCTCCTCCTCCTCCTCCTTGCGCACCAGGGGAGGCGCGAGGGAGGAGGCCCGGGAGCGGAGAGGCGGGGAAGGGAGGGAGGGGGATGGAAAAGAGCGGGGAGGGGGAAGGGGAGGAGGGGGACGGGAGAATGAGCGGGAGGGAGGAAGGGAGGAGGGGGAGGGGGAGGGAGGAAGAGAGGAGGGGGAGGGAAGGAAGGGGAAGGGAAGGAGGGGGACGCGGGGGTTGGGGGTGCGTCGACGACGAAGACAAAGGAAGGGACCAGAGGGGTGATGGCAAGCTAAGTGAGCCGGCGCCATATCTGGCATCCTGCCCCTCCCAGTGGGAGGCTCCAGCCCATCCCTTCCCATTGCACTGATTTATCTCTATCCACGGACGCGTGGCATAGCTGACCTGGAACTCCCAAAACGACCGCATCATGTTATGCGCAATCGGGAAATTGGAGCTGCATGTATAGAAGGAGGGGGAGAAGGAGAGGAAGTGGCGGATGAGCAGGAGGATGAGCAGGACGAAAAGGAGGCGGATGAGGAAGGACGAGGGACGAGGACGACAACGAACTGCAGCAGCAGGAACTGGAGTAGAATGAGCGGGAGGAGCAGGCGGACCAGAGGAAGGCGGAGGAAGGGAGAGGAGGGGGGCGACAAACATGAGGAAATACTCGCATCCAGAAAAGTCGCCCGCGCCGGGGCGAGAGCGCCAGTCTGAACAGCGGGGGCAAAGCGCCGATCCTAAAGTGAGGCCGTGCTGCAGCAGCAACACCCTTTGGAGACAAAGAACACGTTCCGATTGAAACATACGACAGGAAAAGCCAACCCTGAAATCTGGTGTGAAAAGACACTGCGCGAAGACGGGCTACTCCCCAGCCATCTTACAAGGAAAGAGGTGAGTAGTATTCAGACTTAGCAGTTGTGGAAGAAGAAGAAGAGGAGGACGAGGAGGAGGAGGACGGGGGGGGAGTGGGAGGAGGATCCTCCTCCTTCTCCTCCTCCTCCTCCTCCTCCTCCTCCTCCCTCCATCCCTCCTGTATCCCGGACGCACCACCAGACTTGTTGCAAGCGCGGGCTGGGCGTTTCGCCTGAGAGTTTAGCACAAATGACCTCTTCGAAGCTTGCCATGTCCAACGGCTACAAGGATGGAGCACAGGTCGTTTTCAACATTCGGCTGCCGCCTTGGTGCCGCGCGCACTCGCCTGAAACATCCAACAGCTACAGAAATAAAGCACGCGGGTTCTCGCCTGGGCACCACGCACGCTCGTCTTGGCTGCTTTGACCAGTTACGCGGGTGGAACTTGGCGGTGTTCAAAGTCGGGCTCTCTGGCGCCGCGCGCGCTCGTCTGCAGAGCTTGTATCGGGCACGCGGACGGAGGGCGGCTCGTCTTCGAAATGGGGCTGCTGTTTGAGACTTCCTTCCCCAATCAGTGCTTGCACTGAAGGGGTCCTAGCGGAGGTTGATGGATTTGATCGATCTCACAATCGAGCTCAAGATCCATATGACTAATTTTCAAATCATCCACTGATTGGGTTTTCTCAGGTGTAATTGAACCCTCTGACCCAGTGTTCAAAGCTGCGGGGCCCTGCCGCAAATCCAGGGCGGCTCCTCTGGGACACTGGGCTCTAGCATGCCAAATCCTCGTACGTGAGATGGAGGGAGCTTCGGTGCCCTCGGAAGCTCACATTGGATGGCGGGCGCATCCCCGCCAACGAGGATCTCTGGCTAGACACTTGCTTGAGCTCCGTGGCTCGACATCCTTGCACGTCGCACAGCTAGACGGGTGGAGGGTGGATCCTTTACAAGACGGGGACTCCCCTGAATGACAGGCCCACGGGGCGCGCTCGCTTGTCTAAGGGGGCGCGTCCCGCAACGTGCAGACGTCCTCCTCCTCCTCCTCCTGCATCCCGCAGGTACTCCCATCATGGTTCTTATTATGATGAGGGGAGCCGGGACGGGAGAGTGGATCCCAACATCGTTGGTGCAACTTCGGGCTACTCTGGTCCACCTCGTGCTGATCCATCACCAGGTCCGTCTTTTTCCTCGTTGGGGTCCCTCTGGCAATCTTTCAATCAATTGCACATCATCGGGTCATTGATGCTGCTCTACTCCTCTCCATCCCTTCTCCTTATGGGTAACTCATCCCTGCCGCACCTCCAGCCGTGTCGGTAGGTCGGTTTCGCCTGAGCCTTCCTCACTGCTATTGATCCTGAAGCTCGAACTTTGCAACGGTTTCAAAGATGGAGGACGGCTCCTTTTCAAAACGTGGCTCTTGCCTTTGCGCCGCGGACACTCGTCACAAAAGGCTGGCAGCAGCTTCAAGGATTGAGGGCGGCTCGTCTTCAAATTGTAGCCTTCGCTTTAGCGCCGCGCATCTTCGTCTTGAAAGTTCAGCCTTGAGGGTTGAGGGCGGCTCCTTTGCAAACTGCGTCTCTTGCCTTAGCGCGGGGCACATTCGTCGTCACGGCCTGCAGCACCTTCAAGGATTCGAGGGGGCGATATCTCAATAATGGCGTCCGGGCACGGTTTAGATTTACCATGACGCAGCAGTCACGTTTACTCATGATGTTGAAATCCCAGGAGTAATGCACTAACGCGGTTTAGGGACGCATCTGTCATGTTAACTCGTGTCATTGAAATCCCAGGAGTTGTGCCTCGGCGCGATGGAGAATTATCCGACGGTTGTCTTCTAATGGGGCACTTCCCGCAATGAACATACATTCTTGTAGGGTCCTGTGAAAAAAGGGAGCTTGGAGGGAGGGCATCTTGCAACATCGTTGATGCACTGGGTTTACACTGGTACACGGTGGTTCTCCTCCTTCTCCTCCTCTTCTTTGGACGCCCGACACGGGCACGGGAAATCTGGACACGATGCCTCACACCGACGTGTTCTAAAGCCGGCAACGGCCGCTGTTGGGCAGGAGAATGTGTTTCAAACGGGCTGCGTTCACCGCGACGCCGACAAGGAATCCTGGTTAAAGTGGGGAAGAAGTGCTGTCGGTCTCCGTCCCCGTTACCTCCGTACAAGTTTGATCGTACCGATCCCCCTCCTCCCCCTCCCCCTCCCCCTACTCCTCCTCCTTTCCCTCGCCCTCCTCCTCATCTTTTTTCTCCTCCTCCTCCTCCTCCTACTCCCCCTCCATTCTTTTTCCTCATGAAGCCACCCTCCCTTCCTCCTTCCCCCTCCTTTCGTTTTCCTTTTCCTCCATTCCCCTCTCTCCCTCCGTGTCGCACCCCGAAGTCAATCGGAATGGCGGGCCGGGCGTTTCGCCTGAGACGTCCTTGCCACTTCTGATTCTGAAGCCTAAGAAATTGGCAACAGCCTCCCAGATGGAGGGCGGGTCGTTTCCAAAATGTCGCTCTCGCCGGATCGCCGCGCACACTCGCCTTATAAATTGCAAGGGCTTCACGGATTGAGGGCGGGTCGTTCCCATAAGGTGCCTCTCGCATTAGCGCCGCGCACATTCGTATTAACAAATTGCAGGAGCTTCGCAGATTTAGGCTGGTACTTTTTCAAAGTGTGGATCTCGCCTAAGAGCCGCGCACTCGTCTTAAACATTTGCTAAGCTTTCACGGATCCCATGGTCAACGTACCAGGAATGGTATTTGGGAGCGGCTCAGGATTGTGAGGGCGCAACAATTGAGTTGATTTGCAGTGTTCATGTCCGGGGAATGTGTCCCGGCAGGATTCAGGACCGTCAAGACGCAACAATCAAGTTGGTACGTGGCGATGGAATCCCGAGAATGGTGTTTTGGCACGCTTCGGGATCTTCAATCAGTTGTCTCCCAACGGTGCGTTTCTCTCAATGGTAACACTTTTGTATGTAGGGGCCCATGAAGAGGGAGCCTGGAGGGAGTGTATTCAAACATCGTTGATGAATATTGGGATTGCGCTGGTCCTTTTCCTCCCCCTCCTCCCCTTGCTCCTTCTCCTCATCCTCCTCCTCCTCCTCCTCCTCCTCCTCCTCCTCCTCCTCGTCCTCCTCCTCGTCCTCCTCGTCCCTCGTCCCCCCCCCCCGGGGGGTCTCGGCCTCCCCCGCAGGCGCCGCCTGTACCGTGTTTGCCGCGCTCGAATGGCCGCGCCTGCCGACGTCGCGTACCTCCTGCCGCGCGGCCGCGGTCGCCCCAGCGGGCGCGGAAAATTTGCCAGAAAGTTCTCCGAGACCGTCGGAAGGCTCTCGGAGACCTCTGGGCAGCTTTGCATAATCACTCGAAGAGGATTCTCGGAGGTCCGTGGAAGGCTTTCGGGGTCCCTCGGACGCACCCGACGTGTTTCGCAAGGCCCCTCGACTTCTGCTCCCCGTTCCTGCTGCCCTCCCCTCATCCTCCCCCTCTCTTTTCCTCAGCCGAGCCTCCCGTGCCACTTCCACGGCTCTGCCCCATCCTCCATAGAAGCCTCCTGGGACCCCTCGACAAGCCCTGGAAGCCGAAAGCCGCCGAATACCTCCGAAAACGCAAAGGAGGACGAGGAGGAGGAGGAGGAGGAGGAGGAGGAGGAGGAGGAGGAGGAGGAGGAACGAGGAGAAGGAACGCGGAGGACAAGGGAGGACATGGAGGTCGGAGGAAAGACAGGTAGGACAATCAACTAGAATAGCGGGGCTTGAAACTTTTTCAACTCATCGAGGCTGTTTGTACGGCTGGATTTCACACGGCGGCAGAGCATCCTGTTTGCAGGCGATCGAGCAGTTCTGGGCGAGACGCGGGAACAGAGAGAAGAGAACCAGAACTGTCAAACCCCAAACACATTCTCAATTTAACAGGGATGCCCTGTCATTGTCTGGCCTGACGGCGCTCGCTCGTGCTCTTAGGGACGGCGCTGGAGGAACTCGCGCGCGTAGAGGTGGCGTGAGTTCTTCTTGGCCGCATCTGTGTATGCTTAGTGACCACTGGGCCGTAGAGAGAATGTCAGAAAACCCATCACGAAAGTCATGCGAGGTGCGTAGTCCAGGGTCACGCGAAAAGGCGAAATTGAAGCGCGACGACACTTTGGCCAGGCGCGCCTGGACCACGTGGGAGAAGGAGGACGACGGGTCCTTTCTGCACGATCGCCTCGAGCTCGCCGCTGCAGTCGCAATCTCGAGGGCGGGAACTGGCGCTTCCATGAAACCTGCGCCTCCTCGTCGGGCGCGCCGGGTGCGGCACTGCCCTCTGGTGACTCGTCACCCTCGCCAGCGTCGGCTGCTGCGCGCGATGGTGCGGCCGCGCGCAGATGCTGGGCCTTCTCGCCTCCACGACGTATCTTCTTCTTGGCATTGGTGTTGTCGTCGTCGATATTGCACTTGTCCTTGCTCTTGTTCTCGCCCTTGCCTTTGCCCCTGCCCGACGGCTGGGCCGCGAGGCCGCGCGAGCCAATTGGGGCCCGGCTGCCTGTGCGCGGCCAGAACGAAGGTGGCAGTGGCAAGGAGGGCCTCCTCCAGGTGGCGCCGTCCCCGTCGCTACCGCACTCCATCTCCATGTCCCAATCCTCGTCCTGCTGCTGCTCCAGGGGCCGCGGGGCGCGACGCGGCGGGCTGCTCGGCCTGCGCCAATGCCCCGGCGGAGTGGAGCGAGGCGACCGCGGCGCACCTCCGCTGGGAGGCCGACCTCGATCTGGGGGCAGGCTTCTGAGGGCCGCTTTTGCTGGCGGGCAGCCCCGTCAGCAGTTTCTCCCAGGGAAAGAAAACGGTCTCGGCCGTGGCCTGGCCAGCTGCCCAGGTCAACTAGGTTCCAATCGCGGCAGCATTCGAGTGCGCCGCTGAACAGGCACTTCCGTGCCGCCGCTGGTGCGACGGCGTCGCTGATGCCGCCGTCCCCGAGGAAGGCGCGCGCTGCCTGATCTGCCTCGCTGCGCGGTGACAGCGGCGCCGGAGAGCGTGCTCGCGCCCCCCTGGGTTCCTCCAGCGCGTGGCATCTCCGGTGGAACCCGGTGCAAGGGGCTGCCGCCGGCCGCGCAGCGGCCTCAACTCCGCGCTTGCTCGCAGAATTCAATCAAGGGCGCGCGGGGCCGTGCGCGGCGGGCGAGCGGCGGCGACGGCGCGCGGGAGACGGCGGACGATTGCGTGACCAAGCGGCTTGATTGAGCCCGCAGATGCCCTGTTCCGCCTGGCCGCGCATTCTGATCGACCCCCCCAGCAGTCGCCGCGTCCGCGGCGACGGCGGCGGCGGCACCGTGGGTGGCGTGCCCGGTGGCCGCGCCGCGCCGCGCCGCGCGCGGTGGCGGGCGGCCGCCTGCGCGCGGCGGCGCGAGTCGGGATCGCGCGCGCAAGCCCGCCAACGCGCGAGCCTCGCGGGGGTGCCTAGAGCGCCGGGGCCGGCCGGCGCGCAAGCCAGCCGTTAGAGACATGCAGCGAACCCACCTGCTCCTTTCTCCGCCTCCTTCCTCTGATGCCATGCCCCCCGCGCCCGCGCGCGCGCATTCTCTTCGCCGGCGAGAAATCGCGCCAACAACTACGCTTGGACAATTGCGCTACAGCGCGACTTCCAACCAAGGCGTACATGACGACGACCCTCGAACACGATGAGGATGAGGGGGCATGTTTGGTCTGGGGACATGGAACACGGTACAATCGTGATCGCTGTTCGCTGCCGGCCTAAGGGCGCAGGCCAGCGCTCTTGGCCTGAAAGAGCAATGAGTTTTCCAGCGGCGCTGAGGGCGGCGGCGCGCGGCGCGCACGTCTGCTGGCTGGAGCCACCAGCTTCTTCATGGAGAGCAGATCTGTCGACGCTTCCCTCGGCGGCCATCGGCGACCGCGCCCCGCGCGCGCTCCCAGAGGACGGCCCGCAATTGACCCTTGTGCAAGAGATCGCGCAGCCAGAACACGCGCGGCAATAACGAATGTCATGCCTGGAGCATGCGCCTGGGCCCGTAGGCTCCGGGCAGCGTTCCACTCGCAGTGCGAATGGCTGCTGGCCAGCTCGCTGACGACGCGCGGCCACGGGGCCGCGCGGGCCCGCGAGCGCCTCGTTGAATGCGGCGGCTAGAGCGAAGTGGCACGAGAGCACCGCGATGCTAGTCCAGTGAATGGCACGCCCGTCGACATACGAGCGCCCGCTGGGCGCGCCCGCGTGCGCGGCGCCCGCGCGCGGGGAGGTGGCCCCTCGGAGCGCGCGTCCTGCGTCGACGCCTTGTAACTTGCCTGCGCGGCGCGTCGGTGGATGATGAATCGTCGGTGGTTTGCGTTGGGCTCGCCTCGCTATGAGCGTCGAGCGCGCCGCGCGTCGGGGCCGCCGCGCGGCGCCGGAGCGCCGCGGCGCGAGCGCGCCAGTCAACCCGCGCGGCGAGGGCGAAGGCTAAGGCCACGAGCGAACTGAGGTGCAGCTTCGCAAGACCTTCGGCGGCACGACCGCCTGTGGCAAGCGCGGAGTTGGCCTTGCCGGCGAGCTCAGCGCCCCCGATCGGCTTCAAGGCTGGAGCGCAATCGATTTGGTCCAGCTCGCGCCCACCGTCGCGCGCGGGGGCGAGGCGCGCGCCCCGCGGCGCGCGACGGCCCCTTCGCTGATGTCCTGCTCGCACGTGCCGAGGGCAGCCTCTGAGCACAGGCGTAGATTGGCCACCTGGCGAGGCAGTCCTGCTACTTTGATCTCACCGTGTTTCGCGGCCAGCAGGGCGAGGTCGCCGTCCTGGTGTTTGGCGATGAACCCGTTGACGCGCGGCGTGGGGGTGGCTTGGCACATATTGTTTGTGATTCTGGTGAGTTGGATGGGCCGGCATCTCTGCGCGCCCTTGCAGCCTGTGGTTGGCTTCTCCACGTGGAAGACCTCGAATGCTGGGTCGAGATTCTCACGCCTGTTACCCCTCGTAGAACTGCGACGGCGTCGGGGAAGAGCTCGGGGCTAGCATCGCGCTGCTCCTCGCCCGCGTAGACTCCGCGAGTTTCGAGTAGCGGACTCCTTCTCAACGAGGCCTTCTCCACGTCCCGCGCGTCGATCGCCCATCTTCGGCAAGCTGCCTCAGAGACGATCGCCCTCTGTGAGAGTCGCGGCGAGGTGCCGGCGCATGTGGCGATGAGATCCGCGTCGACGCCCTCGAAGCCTCGGAGGTTCAGCCTCGCGCGGATGATCCGCGCATTTTTGTGCAGGGTCTGTTTTACTTCGCGCCCCCTTCCACTTGCCCGCGCACCTGCGACCATTGATGTCGCGCGCTCCTCGGCGCGGGCACCGCGAAAGGTAGCTGCGATCCACCGTTGCCTGGAGCTCCTCGAGCACCGCGGCTGCTTCTGCTGCTGGGTGGTCTCGGAACTCCTCGGGGGCGAGCGAGTCGGCGCCGCGCCCAACCCCGCGGCCATCTCGGGCCCTGCCGCCTAGGGGCGGAGGCGTGCACTCTGTCCGTCTGTGACGGGATGGTCAAGAATAAGATTGTGCGTTTCGTCTGGGACTAATACTTCCACGCGAGCATCGCCGTCCTCGTCGACCTCGATGGCCTCCGAGGCGGGAAGAGGTAACCACTGTGAGGTAGTGGTGGTGCTGGCGCACCTCTGTGGAGATGGCGCGCGGTGGTCGGCATGAGAAGGCCGGTTGAGGTTCGGTCGTCAATCTTGCTCAAAGCGTAACTGAACCTGCCGATAGAATGTCCTGCACGATTGTTTGTTGGTCGTGCGTCAGGGAGGCCTGCCGCGTGGTGTCGACCAGGTTTTGGTCACTGGAAGAAACCTAGTGGAATTCTTCGCCGATGGTCGACAGCCTCCCGCTTCGTGAATGGATTCGTCCGCTCGCGTGCCGTCGTCCGAAGGATCGGCGCTGCCCCCCCCGACACCTGCTATCTGGAGCTCATTCTCTACGAGATCTCCGAAGCAGCGTCCAGCTGCCTCACCTGGCATGAACATATAAGTCTCGGCGCGGCAGAAGGAGTCCGCGCGCGCCCCCGGGCATGCCCGGAAGCGGCATGTCGCTAATTTTCTGGCAGGAAGAGCGGGGAAAGAGAAGGATGATGCAGCCGCGGGGCGGGGTGGGTGGGGGGGAGCGCTCGCGCGGCGGGGGCGGCAGGCTGGCGCCGCGCCCCTGGCAGCGGGCGCGGGGCGGCGTCGCGGTCGCGCCCAATGGTTGATGCAGAAGCTGCAGTGCGCGAACAGGAAATACAACGACGGGAGGTGCAGAGCCATGACGACGATGTCCCAATGCAGCGGAGCCGCGGGGGTGCGTCGCCCCAAGCGGTAAAATGCAGCGGAACAGATGCCGGGCGGGCTGCAGGGTATGGGCAGTTGTGCCAGCTGTAGTCTCCTTGGGCGGGCTAGGGGGTATGGAACCAACCAGACCAGACAGTGCAGCAGCGGTGCTGTAAGCGGCGGGGGCGCAGTAGCGGGTCCACACAGCAAAGCCACGACGGCGGGACCGGGAACGCGGCGGTGGCCTGGGGCCAACTGAAAAGGAAGACCCCCCACATGGTGTGAACAGGCGATGGCACATCTCGCTGTGGTCTGGATCGAGGGGCTCGACGAGGCTCAACCTGCCAGCCGCGGTGCTTCTCCAGGTCTCCACTTCACGGCGACTGGGCCACCGCCAGACCGCGAGTGATCCGTCGCGCGATGTTCTGCGCTCGCGATGCGGTCTAAGCCGTGGACTTCCTGGATGGCCTGAGCACTGCTGAGGTTGAACACGTTTCTGGCTAAGTACTCGAGGCTATAGGCCACTTGGCGTCGGGTAGTGGTGGTGGTGACCGTGCCTGCGTCGGCAAAGCCGAACAGTTGGAGCATCTTCGCAGCTAGGCTCAATATTGACTGCTTCACCACCATGGATGCCTGACTGCGGGGCGTAGTAGGTTGACTCGTGACACCGTACAGCAGCCCACCGAAGTCCATGAATCATCGTACGTCGCCGAAGCGGCATAGCTGCTCGGCGTCGCTGCCGGTTACCGTGCCATGTTGTGCGCCCATCTTGAAAACGGTGGCCGGTCCACCCCAGCTTGGAGGAACGAACTCGTTAGAAGTCAACCACGTCGCCCGGCTTTTAGTCTAGGGTCTGCCCTGAGACAGTGGTGCTTCTTTTCGAAGAGCGACTAATTCGTAAGATGGCCGAAGCCTCCACGATTCGTTGCAAGGCGACTTATCGCAACCTGTGTGTTGCGTGCCACTCTGGCCCCGTCGTCTGGAAGTGCCAACCTGTCTGGCAACACCCGTGGTTGTCGGCCAATCCTGGCATTGCACCGGGTGGTTCCTTCGTAGGATATGAAGGGCTTGCCTGCACATGCAGCCTCGGAAAGTAGATCGCAGATGGAGGCTTTGCAGACGCACTCGGAACAGACAACTCTGCCATGGCCTCCAAGTCAGCTTCGGTAGGAGAGGGGATGTGCGGAGTCCCCATCTCGCGCAGACGGCGTGGCGGTGACGATCACAAAGATCTTAGAGGCGACGCGCCTGAGCTGGGAATGGAGGAGGAGGAGGAGGGGGAGGAGGAGGAGGAGGAAAAGGAGGAGGAGGAGGAGGAGGAGGAGGAGGAGGAGGGGGTAGGGGGGAGGAGGAACAGGAGTTAGACGAGGCTGCCGATGCCGATGCCGCAGTGGCGCTCGCTCCTTGCTGTCGACGGCCTTCTTGATCTCCAGCATGCGGCCCTCCCAGTCTTTCAGCTCCTCGGGCGGGCGCGGGCCCCCTCTCTCCAGGGCAACCGAGGGCGGGAGGCGGCGCGTTCTACCATCTACCCTCCTCCATCTCCCCCTCTCATCTCCCCTCTCACCCCATCTCCCTCTCCTCCTCTCCCCCCTCCTCCTCCTCCTCCTTCCTTCCTTCCTTCCTTCCTTCCTTCCTTCCTTCCTTCCTTCCCTCCTTCCCTCCTCCTCCTCCTCCTCCTCCTCCTCCTCCTCCTCCTCCTCCTCTCCACAGTTGCTCTATATGAATACGGCAGGTTCGCGTCGTGTCGACCCCGGCGTTGGTTTCTGACACCGCGGGGATCGTTCAACCTTGAACGATCGGCCGTTTCCGAAACGTCAAAATCGTTCCACATCGAACGATTCTGGGTCGCCCGCGGCGTTCAAGGTTGAACGCCGCTGGCGGGGTCGCCGCCGGGCGACACGACACGAACCTACCGTACTACACACATCTCTCTCGATTACGTATTGAAGCTGTCCCGCCCTGTCTGTGCATGTCTTTGCACACACTATTTACACATGGTGTGTATACGTGTATGTACCGACACGCAGACCTGTTCCCACAAACCGTGCTTGCACTTGGGGGTCTTATTTCTTTCCCTGAGGACTTGGCTGGCTCTGGTGTCCATGTTGCCGCCCGTTGCCGCCTCATTGCTGCCTCGTGCACTGGGTGGGTAAAGCGAGGTTTCGCCACATTATCCCCTCGTTGCCGCCTTGTGCGCTGGGTGGGTCCGGCGCGCTTTCACCACGTTGCCACCAGTTGCCGCCTCGTTGCCGCCTCGTGCGCTGGGTGGGTCCAGCGAGGTTGTCGCGTCGTTTTCCGCCTCGGGCGCTGGTTGGGTCTGGCGAGGTTTCGCCACGTTGCCGCCCTTTGCCGCCTCATGTGTGCATACACACACATCTGTATATACACACGTAGCACCCCGCCGATGCGGATAAGAGTGAGGGGCTGTGGGGACGTCGGCAGTTTGCGAGACTCTGGAGAAGCCCGCCGCAGGCGCCAAAGTTTCACAAAGTATACAAAGAACCCGCCGCAAATGCCGATTTTTTCGTCAAACCAATTTGGGTAGGTCGCGGGTGGGTCGCAAATGGGTCGCGGGTGGGTCGCGGGTGTGGAGGGCAGAAAATCCACCCCAACATAATCACCCCGACAAGCGAAGGCGTTTAGTAAGCGCACACAACGAATGAATCGAACAGGGCAATATTTGAACGAGCGTGCTGATCACCTGGCCGACTGCGGTGCCAGTGGAATCATGCGTGACCCTGTTGATGTACATCGCTGGGCGAGCTCTTCGAGTTAATCTGTGGCTTTACGAGGTCAGGCAGCCCCTGATCATTTTCAACATACGCCAAAGTAAAAGTCAATTGTCGGGTCCGAGTGGTTTCTCCTCCTTTGAGGGTGCGTCGCGGGGTGGGTCGCAGGTGGGTCGCGGGGTGCGTCGCGGGGGGGTCGCGGATGGGTCGCGGATAGGTCGCGGGGTGGGTCGTGGGGTGTGTTGAGGGTGGGTCGCAGGGTGGGTCGCGGGTGGGTCGCGGGGTTGGGTCGCGGGGTGGGTCGCGGGGTGGGTCGCGGGGTGGGTCGCGGGTGCGACGACGACAACAGCAACACCACCAACACCAACAACAACAAAGCAACAAGCAGACATCTCACCACACATTCCCTAGTCAACCACGCACCCAGGGACAATGAATGACCGTTCGGCCCCCTCACTCTGATAACGGATATAAGCATATGATGGCCAGATCGTTCCTGGTGTTTCAGAATGGTGTTCCTGCTGCAGCGCGAGCCTCATTTCTGGGGCGGCGCTTTGCTCCCGTCGTTCAGAATGGCGCTCTCACCCAAGCGCGGGCCACCTTTCTGGAACCGAATTTTTCCTCATTGTTGTCGCCCCCTTCCTTTCCCCTCCCCCGCCTTCCCCTGGTAATCCTGATCCTGCCGCTCCTCCTGCTCCAGCTGCTGCTGTTCCTCCTCGTCCTCCTTCGTCGTTTGCCTCCTCCTCCTCCTCCTTCTTATCCTTCTGCTCATCCTCGTGCTCATCCGCCACCTCCTCCTCCAGTGTACGCAGCACAGCTCCCCTGTCTGGATTGCGCATCACCCGATGGGGCCCTTCTGTAGGGCCCAAGTCTGCTATGACACCCGTCGGCGGCTAGAGAACAGATCAGCGCAATGAGAAGACAAGGGAAGGTTGGGATGTGGCGCGAGCGCACATAACTTGCCATTCCTCCTCTACCGGTACTCAATATGCATACTACTCTCCTCTCGCCCCTGAAGACAGCCAAAGACTGGAACGACACGATGCCCATCCGTGCTGATACGTTCTACAATGTTTCTGTTACAATCGAAGCGCTCTCGGTGGCTTAGACGGTGCATCCGCTGCAGCGTGGGACTCATTGTGAGATCGGCGCTTTGCTACCATCACTCACAACGGCGCTTTCGCCTCAGTGCGGGCCACTTTCCTGGATCCGACTGCGTCCTGGTCGTTGTCCTCCCGTTCCTTTACCCTCCCCCGCCTTCCCCTTGTCATCCTGCTCCTCCCGGTCCTACCACTCCAACTCCTGCTGCTGCTGTTCCTCCGCGTCGTCTTCCTTCCTCAGCCTCCCCCCCCTTCCTCCTGCTCATCCGCCACTTCCCCTTCCAATCTACACAACCCTCTTGTTTTAGATTGCGCATGTCACGATGGGTCCGCTATGCCACGCGTCAGCAGATAGAGAAAACGTCGCGCCATGGGACGAGGTAAGTCGGATGGGGTCGGATTACAGATCTGGCGCGAGCGCACCTGGCTTGTCTCCTCCCTCTCGCCTCCTCTCCCTCCTCCTCCTCCTCCTCCTCCTCCTCCTCCTCCCCCCTCCTCCTCCGCCTCTTCCTCCCCCTCCCCCTCTTCCTCATCCTCCTCGTCCTCCTCCTCCTCCTCCTCCTCATCCTCCTCCTCCTTTCCCTCCGCTTCATCTCCTCCTCCCCCCTCTCCAAGGCCATGTCGGTTTGAACCTGGGCGGAGGTCCTAGCCCAGACACCAACGGAGCGCGCCCAGACAGCCCGGCCTCGCGCGCAAGCCGCGACCCGCGCCATCATCGTGGCCAACCACACCTCAGTGCCAACGGCTACAATGAAGACCAATCCGCAGGAAACCTTCCGCATGAAACCCAACCCTGAGACCTCAGGACGTCCATCGATTTATGGTGTGGGAACGCCACGCCGTCCACGGCAAAACTACCGAATCCCAAGAAACCCAGGGCACCCTGGATGCAAGCACGGTGTTTCTTGGCATGCCCCCCCCCACTGTACGCAGCCGCGCGAGCGCGCCTGGCACAGGCGAGCTCGCGCCGCCAGAACGCAGGCTCGTACCCTCGTCGGCGTCGCCAGCGCAAGGAGGCTTCTGGACAGCCACCACAGCGCCCAGCAGCTCGACGAGATGGGCCCGTGGCGAGTGGTGAACAAACTGCGCAGACAACTGAATGAAGAACCAAGCCCACGGAGCTGTACGCAATGGGGGAAGGACGTGTCACACAAGTTGTTTTGTCTTGCAGGTGTGGACGCAGCTGGCAAAGGCTGCAGCACCACGCACAGCAACTTCAACAACAACACGGGCGGACCAACTTCGACGAGGACGGCCTGGTGCTACCCAGCCAGTACCATTCCAGCAGGAATTGGCGGCCCGACCTTGGAGAAAGAAGGGCGACAACGAGCACATGACGGCAACGATCAGGTCCACAGTCGACCAGATCCCGATCGCCAACTTCGACAACGCTATCAATAACCAGAACTGGATCCAGGCCCAGAGAAAGGCACCGACACACAGACGTTATAGCAGAGATGCGACGCTAAACTTGGCAGGTGCGCCCGGTTGTTTCATCGTAGCAGCGGAGGCGGGCGCAAATACGAATACCACAGAGGAAGTCACCGCCACCATCAAGCTAGCGTTGCTCCAGACGACGAATAACCACGAGCTGATCAAGGAGCTGAGGCGCACGCAGGAGCAGATGTACATCAGGATCCAGACCATCGAGGCAGAGATCGAGGCCCTCAACGACCAGCAAGAGACGAACCAGAAGCAGTACCGCATGCCCAAAATCTAGATAGCCACGGTGCAGCTGAGGATCGACGACGAGGACCAGGACGAGGAGGACGAGGACGACGAAGACCAGGACCTGCAGTTGCACACCCCCTTCAGAAACCAGTTCAGACTCACCGCCAGACCATCCCCACGGCACTCATCAAGGGCCAGATCCTCCGAATCCTTGGCAGTACCACCAGCAGTCGAACATGCGCTTCAGGCCATAAGCGAGATGAGTGAGCTAATGCAGAAGCAGATGGCGACGATGGAAAGTTTGCACCGTGAAGGCAGCAGGAGGACCAGGATCAGGAACAACGAAACTGACCATTCAGACGGACGACTGAGGGAATTGGAAAAGAAGATCGCACACCACCAGAGGACCAGGGACCAGCTGAACATCCAGAACGCCAGGCTCGCCGCCAAAGCTGAGACAAAGGAAACGCAATATGCAGCAACACTCCACGCAACACGACTGCAACAGCATGCGAGTGAAGAAATCGAGGCCCCCGGGGCCGCTATGGCCGCCAAGAGCGAGGACCACCAGCAGAAGCAGCAGCGGGATAATGAACAGCAGGCGACATACCGCAGGCAGAAATTTTACAGCAAGCTAAAGAAGAGCATCCATCAACAAGCCGACCGCGAAACCACCATACGAAAGCAAGTGGAAAAAAAGGCACGCCGTGTATCTTGAACAACATGCGACACACGCCCGACAACGATAACAAAAAAACACCATGCATTGCGGCAGCAGCAGGAGGAGTACAGGCAACCGATTTCTGACAATAGAATCAAGAACCAACAGCTCGAACGCGACAAAGTACGCCTGGAAGAGATCGCAGTCAAAAAACAACTGTTCCGACGGTAGGACCCCGCATGATAATCTCTGTAACTTGACCCTCGCCTTTTTGTTCCGATTCGACTGGCGCAGGCCCT